GGAAGGCAGTCCAAATGTTACGCGTGTAAATCTGAAGATCCCTCAAGTTCTTAGCACTAGGGGGAATCGTGTGATCCTGCAACCATAAGCAACGCGCGGAATCCCTATCTATGTGATGCAGACGAACCTGTAGAAACGCTTTTTCTACATCCGATATCAAGGCGATACGCCCAATCCGGAATCGCAGGAGAATACCATAAAGTTTGGGCAGAATCACCGGGCCTCTATGCAACGCGTCGTTTAAGGACGGAGAGTTCTTATAGTGGGCTGATGCATCAAAAACAATCCGTACTTTCGTTGTGGTTTTCTTTGGGGTCAACACCGCTTGATGAGGAAGATAATGAACTGTGCCTTCCACTGGTTTGTGTTCATCTGGGACCTCTTCTATGATATTCAAGTTCAGCTGTTCTTGAAATATACTGTTATATTTCTCCAGTAAATCCTTGTCCTTATTCAGTGAGGACCACACGCTTACGAGACGCCGTAATGCTATGGCTCTGTTGTCCGGTAATGTCGTTGGAATGTCCTTCCAAGGTAGACGTACATAGTAACCATCATCTTTTTTCTCAATCGTGTCTAAGAAGTTCTGGAGGACTTTTTGATCCACTAACGCCTGAACTTCTTTTTCCGATCTCGTGAAGTCCTCTGTACCGTCCTGTTCTAAAGACCAGTACCTATCCCATAATCCTTTTTCGTCCATGTCGTCCGGAAGGCTCTCGAAGGAAAGCGGGTTCATCTGGGCTTCGAGAGGCCAAGCTTGTTCCCATTCTTGGCCGAGCTGCTCTTCATGATCTTCTGAGTTTCCTATTACACGAGTAACTTGATGTCCTTCTTGAACTCTACCTGTCAGCAGATGGCCTAAATGAGTTGGAAGTAGATGGAGTCCTGATGGAAGGCTTATGTGGTGTTCATCCGGTCGGATAAGTTGCCACATTTGATCAGATCCCAGTAGAATTCTGGGTTTCGTGTCTTCCTGCCTTTGGATCAACTTGATGGGAAGGTTTGCGGTCTTGATGAAATCGAGGTCTTCTTCTAGCAGAGGGGGATTTTTCAAAGTAGTGGTCAAAATGTCATGTGTAAGGAGCTCCATCGAGTATGATTTTCCTTCATCATCCCATATCTCTAGGGGAACCTTACGGCTGACGCACTCCTGTACTCGATCCGATCCAAATGTACGAAGACGTAGCCTGGTCGTCTTCAGAGTAGGTAACTGCAACTCATCGGCGAGTGCACTGTCGATGAACGATAATTCTGCACCAGAATCAAGGAGTATTGTTATTTTCCTCAATTGCCTCGTGGTGGGATCCAGTATCGTAATCTCTCCGGTAGGCAAAAATGTTCTGTTCTCTGTATGATCTTCTTCCCGTCTTTGAAGCTCGGTCAATGGGTCTCCCTGTTTCTTACTGTAAAGAATACTAGTTTCTGATTCCTGACTGATCTGATGATTAGTCGTAGGCGCCGACCGTGTCTTTTGTGCCGGCTTCTCCTTACCTTTATCTTTGGCGGTGGGGTGCTGAAGATTTCACCGGTAGTGTTTCATTCTTTTTCACGGGTGATCCTACTGACGACCCTGTCTTGAAGCAGCAGGAAGTATGGTGAGGGTCCCTGGCAGACAAAACACATCCTTCCTTTGCACTGGTAAGTGAAATGCTGTGGGGATGCACAAATGAAACACAATTTATGTTCTCTCAAATACTTTGCTCTTTCTTGAGGCGTCCGGTATTTTGTGCATGCATTCGCCTTGTGATCACTTCCGCAGTACATGCACGACCCACTCAAAGAGCTAACCCCAACGCGTCGAACCTGCTCCTTAGGAATGGTCTCCTTCCTCTCCCGTGCCTGCGGAGACGCGACATCTTTGGCAGTGTACAGCGCAATTTGCTCTTCCGTAGAAATGATATCCTCGAGAGTCTGGAGAAGAGTCTCCATGCGAAAGGATCCCTCCATGGAATACTTCCTTTCTAGCACCCTTCTTTGTAGACGATCCGAGAATTTCGATAGAACCTGTTTCACAGCAGTTGGCCATCCACTGGCTCGCCCTTGTCCTGGAGCTGTGAGATTATGGCCTGAAGTTGCTCTAGCAGCACGCGCTGGTCCTTGGTCGAGGTTGAACGCGAAGTGGTCTTTTCTAAGCGGTCGATTAAGTGATTCACTAGATCTTCATGATTCCCGTATTTTGCCATCAATAATTCTACCGCCTTCTGATAATTTTCAGCCGTAATTTGAAACTTTTTTACCGCATTGTAAGCTTCTCCCTTCAACGCGTTTAAAAGGTAATTGAACTTGAAAAAGCGGTGGGATGGGTTGTGAATGAACATTGGCTGTGAATAAAATCCAAAAGTTGTCCCAATCCCATATATTACCCGTAAAAGTTGGAATGGGTAAAGTTGGTAGTTCGATCTTTTTAACTTCGGGAGAGTAGTCCTGTACTGAACTTTCTGCTATACGCGACCTAGTAAGTTCAGAACTATTCCCATTACCTGTTTTGAAAGCACGCAATCGGCCTTCTAGAATGACTGTATAGTCGAGGGCTGAACTGAGCGCTTCCTCTGCTAAGGCCGAATACACCTCGTAATCGTCACTTTCTGATTTTGGTAGATCTTCGATTCGATCAAACGCGTCCCCATACTCTTTCCACAACTGTTCGATTTTTGAAGTACATGCCTCAATAACTCCAAGTCCCTCTTGGAGCCTCTTTCGACACTCTCTCTCATACCCTGGAGTGCGGTCCTCATCCGAAACCTTCAGAGTCTCTAACTTTTCCCCTTTGAAACGCGAGAGAGCTGTTTCCAGCTTTTTGCAGTAGCTGGTCAGCAACCGCTTGTGAGAAGAGAGTTTCTTTGTCATTTGAATTTCAAACCCTTATTTGACTGCTCGAACGCGATGGAGTGGTGGGGACAAAGGATGTTTACGCGAAAGATGATTCACTCTCAGAAACTCGATTGATTGAACCCAAGTTGTACGCGAGTGAAACCTTCTTACTCAACTTTTTACAGTAACGAACACGTAAACATGCAAAGACGATTACGTTTAAACGAAAATGTTCAAAGAAAACTAGCCTGCTACGCGTCCTTTGAACCAGTGTCGACTTGAATACCGTATACCACAATTCGGCCGATGCACCAATTGAGGTCCTTCTCACGTTACTGTTGCTCGCCGTAAACCAGTTTGGTCGCCACGCGGATTCCGTGTGAGAAGGCCTCAAACTTGGGTAATTAAACCTTTATTTTAAATACTGTAATAAAAATGAACGATACATATATAAAATATCTACATTATAAAAGAGCATGTAAATGTGAATGCTTATAAACCTTTAATCTTCCTGAATACGCGAACCTGTAAAATGATTAAAGCGATGAGAATGGAAAGGGAAATGAGCTACATAACTATTAAGAAGTAACGCGAGAGGCTGAGGGTCGACGCGAGTTGATGATACGCGAATGAGCCAGCTTCTCTGGCAGACACCCTTTTATGCGGCGACCAGCCGCAGCACTGTGCGGCCCGCAATCAGCCTCCTCGATCAGCAACAAAGCTCCCTCGAGCTCCTAAACCCACTATCGATTGATAATAGAGAGAATAACATACGTTAAATATAACATAACATACATGCGATAAATACAATTCTTACGGTGGTTCATATGGATAATTGTACTAGCTAAAAGTCTACAATACTTACACATTTAAGAGATTATTAGCTTACAACCTTATGATAGGACGACTGTTGTCGTCAAACTGATCGATTGTTCGAAAATAAAAGCAGACGCTAAAGAACGTCTGAAACTCCTAGAAAAAAGCATGGATGTCACTTTCGGAACTATACGAAGTGAATACCATGGCATCATGCTTGAAAGTACAGAGCCTCCTTATCTCGTAGCTTGAAAAGTTTGGGGCAAACCAGCAAAGTAGCTCCTTGAAAATTGCTTGATGTACCAAAACATCGACGATTGAACCTAGTGTGAGGTTTGGTGCAAAAGCTGCTTTGGTCGCGTTCAGACTCCAGACGGCTGCTTTTCGGTCGCGTGTAGTCGTACGCGCGACGAAAAGCTGCCGTCGCGAAGTCTGAACGCTTAACATGAAACCCTTTGCGACTTCTCTTCAGGCGGGGCTAATGCCGTTTGGACTCCAGAAATTTCGGCTCCGAGCTCATTTTCAAATTGCCTAAGTCACCAAATCCACTAAAAACTTGTATATAGGGGTAATTCAACATCCTGATTACGAGTATGACACTCATTCTTGGCGCTGGCGCCAAGAGAGGACACTACGATTACCTCCTGGGCTCAGCCTTAGCAGAGCGCAGGTAACCGTAGTGTCATCCATTAGCGCCAGCGCCAAAAATGAATGTCATATTCGTGATCAGGATGTTGAACCCCCTATATACAAGTTTTTAGCGGATTTGGTGATCTTGCCACTTTTAAAATGAGCTCGGAGCCGAAATTTCTGGAGTCCAAACGGCATTAGCCTCTTCAGGCGCCCTTGCCGTAACTCGAACGCTAAACTACTAAACTAGACCCGGTTGATGGTGTATATTATGGACTGAGATTGATCAGTTTCTCCAGTAAGTTCTTATCTGAAGCACAATCGACCCCGTTGACGAGATAACACAATGTAACTTGAAAAACATTATGCAGATGATCCTCGAATCCGTATAGCCAGTTTTCGGTGCCGTCTCGTCCTTAACCATTAGATATGACGGACGATTGTGTGAAGCATCCCTGTTTCAGATTATGATAAACAATCTGGGCACGCGGCTGTTCCAATCGGTTTCAGACAAGGCCGGCGATATTGGTGAAAAATTCGAGGAAGAGTTCGCACGACTTTCTGCGAATATTACTGGTAAGCTCATCTAGCAAGGCATGTTCGATACGTAATTATAATATGGTGGATGGATGATTCCCACTATTTAAATAGCACATTGCGTGTAAACTTGTTGTTTGCACGTGCAAAATATTTTCATAATATTCGCTTTGCACCTGGGAAGGGGAGGGGAGGGGAAGGAAGAAATGTGGTGATTAGCTGATGCGTGACATTCCAAATAGGGCTGCTTTGCAACCCTTCAATAGCGCATGGTCAACGAGCTGTAAAGGAATAAAGGGTACAATCACTCAAAAAGAATAGAAGCTGTGATTTTATCAGATTCCAGAATCATAAAAGGGTCCAGAATCCGTCGAAGAGTCTTCAGTGTGTGTCGCATCTGCCTCGCCGAAGGAGGGGGGTCGTATTTAGAAGAATCAGTAGTCAACAAGATTGTATCAAGATGTGTGCGGGATAAGCGTCAAAAATGGAGCTATAGCAGCGGCTCTACAAAAGTGTATTCCATCGCGAAAATGCTTTCATATGCTCTTAGCTATCGGGGTTGTGTCATCAGAATCAGACAGCTGTTTTATGGACTAACCTGACTTTGAGTATTAGTAGGAATGTGACGGAAGGTCATATGCGTGGCGCACCCTATGGCCAAGCCTATCACTCCCTCTGCCCATCAAATAGCATTGATTACAGGTAAAAGACGTGTTGTGGAGGCTTGGGTTCTGGAAGAAGCTGTGAGAAATGAA